CCTGATGTTTCCCCAGACTGGAAGCTCTTTGATGTCATAATGAAGGCGGTGGATTTGCAGCACAAATGTGTAACCTGTTCTACAGGAGTGATTTGTTGACCATAGCAAATGACAAATGTTAGATAGACATGCTCTTTGAGGTGCTGCTAGGCCTGTTCTTTTGGTGCATGAGGCGTTTATAAAGTGTTTGCTGTTACTTACGCACAAGTAAATGGGAATATCCCTGTAATTACAGTTTAGTATGTCAAACATTTTTAAAAAATATATCTCTGGTTATTGTGTTGGGATTAAACCATGAACTGTATTATTAGCTTGCTTGTAGTGCTTAATGCAGGTTGTAACTAAGGTGTTTCTAAAGCTTACCTAATTCCCTAACACATTACTATTCTAATCTTGTGTCCTATCTTTTATAGTATTTTACTGGGGTTTTGTTTAAATTATACTGCTGTGGGACATTATCAGTTTTGAAACTTTTTATATCCCGAGCATAAGTAGCAGCCATAACATTTTTGGAATTTCTTCAAAGTGGGCAATAACATGCTTCAGGAATATGTACAAACTTGTTTTGTCATGGTCAGGTTGATGAAATCTAATGTTTTGCTGTGTGTCTTAACATGCCTGTGGTTTGTATGCAGCATATTGGTTAACAAATGCAAAACCTTAAATGTATTATTGCTTGGAGTTAAAAAACAGATACTTGGTAGGGGAAAAAATCTGAATAGATTTGATGGCATTTACTTGTTTAAAAAAAAAAAAAAAATAAATAGGTCAAAGTATTTGGAAAAGAGGGGAGCGTTTTTTAATGAAACAGTAAACTTTCAGTCCTGCTTTGCTGCCTCCTTCATAATTTTTATCAAGCTTTCTGTCAGTGCTGACTTGTCCGATGTTCTACAACATATTTTTCCAAACAAGATAAAAATTATCAGTAAAATAAAATAATGGGTTTCATTGGTATGTGCTCACTCATTGAGGGGGAAATGCACAGAATTTTGCTGTACTTGAGCTTAAGAAAAGGGGGGGTTGAGGGGCTCAAGGGGAGCTTATTTAATTAAAGCTATGATTTTTCACCTAAATGGAGAGGAGAAAAGATTGCTGTAAGGGCTTTAAGATTAGATCACATATGATTTGGGAGATATGAGTTAAAGTCACACCTACTTGAGTTTGAAGTAGCTTTTCCTGTATCTTTGGAATTGTTCTCCTAAGATCCAAGAAAATGTTATTGTTATTGGTGCATTGGTCATATAACAGATTGAAGCCTGTTATTCAAAAAACTGCAAAGAAGGTACCAGTTACCCCTGCAGTGTTAATTGCAAAGTAATGAAAACAATACTAAGAGTTGGTAGTAATTACTTTGTTTAAATGTTTGACACTGAGACATTAAACAAAAAAGCGCTCCAAATTCTTGTTCATTAGGTACCTAGGTACATAACAGGAATGATTGCTGTTTCTAGTGCAATGCAGCAGTGATACAGCCTGGGTCTTTTTCATTTCTGTTGGCAATCAGTTCATGCTAGTATGTGTGTATTAAATGTTGTTCTGACTAGAAACAGGAAAGCTGGTGATGGTTCTAAGGTTTCAGACAGAGTTACTTACATGCCTATGCTCTTAGGTGTTGATTTAAATTATGATAATAATTGAAGATAGATAGCCACTAATACAAAGTCTAATACAAAGTCTAATACAAAGATGTTTTCCCAGATCAATAAAGCAAGAGAAACAAGGGAGTCTTGTCTTTAAGTATTGCCAATAATAAATAACAAGATGAATTACCTGTACTTGTTTTCTTCTCCAAAAAAGCATGAAGAATTCTAACTTTTGCATCATCATGCTTCCAAACAAAGAGGACAGTTTGGAGCTGGTACACAAGGCTGATGACAGCCACTATCTACACCCTTTACCATTTTCCTTTTAATGATTTACTATTTAGAAGATCATTAGCTGGAAAGAAAAAAATGTTTCCATAAGCATACAAGACATCCAGGCTCATATCCCTAATTACTATTCTTTGGAAAGATGACAGCACATTTCACTGTAATTATTGCTCAGCTGCATGCGTGCTTATGAAAAAGAACTCATGTATAGGATGTTAGAATGTGTGGTGTTCAAAACCAGCGAAGAATAGACCTGATATTCTTATTGGTTTCTATTCTTATTGATTTCTATTATTGATATTCTTATTGATTTCTAAGCATAGCAAAATTATTTGCAATAAATCTTGTGAATATTCAGTTTCTTTGCACAGAAGCTCTGAAAAGATGTTGAAAACAGGTTTTAAACCATAATTGAAGGCAGGATTAGGCAAAGACATTACTGAAGACAGCTGTCTTCTGCATAAAATGCAGCAAACTAAGGTTTTGGCTACTGTGACTTCAGCATGCAGAGAATACATGCTTATATGTTATAAACTAGCCCAAAGCATTTTAGTATGTCTTTAAAATATAGTCCTATTTAAAAGCTGACTAGAAAAACTGGAAGGTGCTGTTTGAAATATGTGATACCTGGGTGTGTAGATGTCTCCATGCTTATTTTCATGATGCAATTAAGTTGTCATTCCACTTTATTTTACTGGGTTAATGAAGTATTTTTTCGATGTTCTGATAGTGAAGTGCAAAGCAGAAAGGTGTGAGCTGAATTTTCTTTCTGTGTATCAGCTGAAATTTGGAAAGTTTGTACACTTAGAAATGTATTAAAGCAACTACAAAAGTAACTGAAAGCAGAACTTTACTCTGGATTTTCTACTGAAAATAATTCAGTACACAAAAAATTTAGCACATGAAATTTAGTTCAAATGTGTTAGATGAAGAAGTTGCCTATGTATAAAGGGGAACAGTACTTAGCCAGTCATATCTGAATTACTGGGCATCTTGGTATAAAAGGATGCGTAATCAGTCCCATTCTGTTTTGTTGGTTTGTTTGTTTTTCTATAATGTGTGAAGTAATTTCATTAAGAGTTGAGAAAACAAGTTGTCCTTGCCAATTTTCAGGACAAAACAAAGCATACCTCGATGAAACTAGCACCTTACACTTTTCTTAGATCATTAACTAACTCAAAATTCAGTCCAGTGAGCATAAGGACAGCATATACAGCATCCTAAAAAAAAATCCCAACCAACCAAACTATCTTCTTTTGAACTCTCAAATATCTTTTAATAGTATAAATGGATGCTGAATCAAGAATAACTGCACAATGTTTTGCCAAAACATTTGCACTGTGTGTACTACAGCTTTTCTATGTCTAATATTTATGGAATAAAAGCTGTATTGAATCAAAGTTAAGCTAAATTAGTTCCTTTCATTTTGATATCTTTTTATTTTGAAGATGGGAGCACCTATATAGTCTTTATAGAATATGTTAATGGGTAAGCTTACTAAAGCTTAGTAAGTATAAATTGAAGTGTGTATAAGAAACTATTGTAGAAAAGATAAAATACTATAGAATGGTCTTAAAAATCTGATCATGGCCACTATATATTAAGTTGCTAGATGACACATCAAGGATCATCTTGCCAAAAGGCAGAGATCTCAAAGCAAGACAAGAATATTCACTGAAGTAAAAAAAGCCTACTGACTCAGGAACTTCTAGTAAAGGGAGACAAGGGCCTTCAAAGAAAGGTGTTGGCACTTACACCTGTATTTGTACAGCTGCACTTGTAAAAGACTTGGAACTATTTGCTGCATCATTCTAAGATTATGTTTGTATGCCATGCTTGTACAAGAGCTGGAAGTATTTACTCCTTCATGCTGAAAGACATCTTTCTTCATGCTAGTCCTGGCTTATGTTTCGACCTTTTGTACATTGCCGTATATATTTGAGTGCAGCTGCCTATGCCTTATGACACAGTAATGCACTAGAGGTAAAAATCTGTTGAAGGAGAAGAGTTTGAGTTGGATGAGAATTCAGGAGCAGAAGGGAGTCTATTGCACATCTAAAACTAATCTACAAAGATACTTCCAATGAGAGAGAACAGTAACTATCCCTTTGACTAGCGCTACTGCCTGCCTCCATCTAAACCAGCACTTCCAGCTCCCTATCTCTCTGTGACACTATGCCTTGTGCTATATTTATATTACTGAAAACAGAGATTAATTTTTCACTAAAATCAATTGTTAATCCCCTACTTTTGCGAAGGCTGTGAAAGCTGAGGCGAGTAGCATCAGAGCAATGTCATTGCCCAGCAAATGTGTTAGTTTGTCTGCCCAAACCTGCTGTGTAATGGTTCCTTAATGAGCAAATAAATGGTCAGCTGTCAGGCCTAAGCCTTTAAAAAAAATAAATTTAATGTTTTCAAATGTTGAGTTGAAATGTATTTCCCTTCCCCCACCACTTACCCAAATGTAATATTAGAGCCTAGAAGTGAGTTACTATGCTATTTTTCATTGAAGAAAGTGTGTGCCTGTGCATATGTTTAAAAAAGGATAAACATTAGCATTTGCTTTTCTGAGATATGGGGTATTGCTTACTCTTTATACACACTACTGTCTTCTTGATATACCATGCTTGTGTATGTCTAAGATATCCACTATAGAGATCTGAAATGGCCAAGTATTTTAAGAGTTTGTCCCTGTTAATTTTAACTTCTGAGTCTTATACTCCCAACTGCTTAAAATAAAACCAGAACTGCATATTTTTTAACTCTAAAATAAGCAATACATGAGAAATTTTAGAAATCTTGAAAAAGTTACCTCAGGCGGGTATTGAACCTACTTTGCCAGAAAATATTTACAAAAATAAATATTCACAAAATATTTCCTCATCACCTTTTTTAATATTAGGTTGTTCCCTAGTAAAAGTAAGGGCTCTTTACAGTGTAAATATCAGTCCTCAAGACTCTTACTTTTTTGCTGGGTTGGAGATTTATACCTTAGACTTCTGCCTCAAGATGTTGAGCTCCACTCTTATATAAAGACATTTTAAATGAATATGTGTGAATAGGCATTAGAGGAGAACATGTATTTCTTTTTTCTTTTTGTTTTTCCCCTCCCTTTAAACAACTAGCAGGCTTCATTGAAAGTTTAACCTTTAAATTAAAGAACAGTATAGGAGCCAACTTGCTAGACTCTTCTCCCAGAGAGCCCCAAACCTCTTGTGATCCAGCCCAGTAAATGTCCCTCCTTGTTTTATTCTTTCAACTCATACTACTCAGACTGAATCTTTTCCAATTAGCATTGCCTGTCCAGATAAAAATCTATGGTATCTACTCCATTGCTTGGGCAGTTAGACTGGTGGGTTATGCTCACAGGCCTGCTTGGTGATTTATAGGTTTCTCTGTGGGGGAAAGTTACTGCTCAGTGAGCTGAGGTTTGAATTTACAGTACTGCTAGTTTATTCCACTTCCGTTTTTAAATAAAGTTGAGAACAAGCTCATTTGAAAGTGAACTTACAGTACTTGAAGTAGGCTGCCTGGCAAATTACTCAGCTGTAAATTCTAGCCTCATTTTGTGAAAAATGGTTGTTGTTTGGGGTTTTTTGATAGACAAATTATTTTTTTCTTTTTATTGAAATTTATTAATTGTTATTTATGGAATGTTTATACTTTTATTCTATTAAATTAACCCAGTTACCATTGCTACTGTTATTAAGTTACATTAAAAAAAGAGACAATTAAAAAAAAATTACTATGGAAGTGCTATAGGGCAAAGGTGAAGTACGGAAGTAAGGCCTACAGTATGACTCAGGCTAGCATTTTACCTGGGTTCTGTTCTAAATATGATGACTATCTGCCTTAAGCATAAATGGCGTTACTTGCTCTTATGAGGTACACATCCTTTAATTGTCTGACTTTTCAGCATTCTGCATATACTGCAACATTATAGATGTGTGTCTTTCTCATCAGCGCTGAGATATTGGGGGAAAAAAAACATCTGATTAAATGGAACAAGAAAATGGCTTACACAGATGATAGAAACCCAGGAAAAGGCTGAGAGACAAGACAAGTAACTCAGTCAGAATGCAAAACAAGTCTTATGCACCAGGTTGGATAGGAGCTGCCTTGAAGGAGTTTTTGGTTTCTTTTATGAAGGCTGGTGGTTTTGTAGTGTCAGAAACCACCTATAGTTATTTAATGCTACTAATTTCCTTCAGCTTCTAGAAAGACAGAGCTTCTCATTTAGGATTTCATTTGAAGCATTTCTTTGTCCTAATTCATCTGTAAATAGGGTGTTGTAATAGTTGCTTATGCTGAACAGAGTAGCCGTCAGTGCTTTCAGGTTCTTTAATGAAAGGCACACTCATTGCAAATTGATTTATGAATTTTAAGAAACTTCTGGGTGTGCTCTGAAACAGAGTTCATGTTAGTCTGCCAGCCTATTGCCCTTGTTATATGAAGTTTCTAAATGTCAGATGTGTATTCCTAACAAACGTGCTCATTTTAGAGTTAGCCTATGACATCCATTTTTTCTTCACTATCTCCTTTTTAGACATGAATATTCCTTGTGAGGAATGGGAGTCTGCTCACACTCTTGTGAGGAGATAGCAATGCCATTTAATGACTTCAAATATCCCAGCTTTACAGGTAACTTTTTACTCCATCACCCATTACTATTGCTACAAAATTGCAGGCTTTTTTAGTAAGGGGAACTCTAGGTCCAGCAATCAAAGGAATACAATTATATGACCAAGTGCAAAAAGTGAACTTGGGCTGCCTATTGGCACATGCTCGAGTAGTCAGGTTTTTAAAGCACTGTAGTTACACAACTTTTCACTAGATGGCACTTTCACCAAGACACTTTGATTCACATATTTTCTCATTTGTTCCTTTACCCCTTGTTGAGCTTCATTTTGTGTTTTTTCTTGAAGGGATTCTTTGGATGCTTGATTACTGCGTCTTCTCTATTGGTCCCAAAAATATTAGTGATACTGCAGAACTGCATCAATGCTGTTCACAGATGTTCTGTGATTGTGATGTACTGTTCTTCAGTCCCTGCCATTTCCTACTGCTATAAGGGTAATTGAAAGCTATGAAAATTTCAGAACCTCAGCAAGCTCATCTTATGTCAGTCTATTGTATTGCAAGTAATATTTAAAAAAAAAAAACCAAACCAAAACAAAAAACAACAAACAAAACTGTTGTAATAAGTAAATGTAGTCTGTAATATGGTAAGTACCAATTACTCCAGGAATTAAAAAGTCCTCTCTAAACTATTATCAAGCAGATACTTCTGCAATAAGGGCCAAAGTCAAAGTCTTTAAAGAAGCTTAATAACCTAAATGGCTTAAATTCTGGAAGTGTCTAAACCCTCATAAACGTGCTATCCTGCAGAAATTTGAGGCCTGCATCAGGGGTATCAGCTTCTTTTTACATTTAGGGAATGCTGGATGTGTAAGATACTGTAGCAATGTGGAAAGGACAGCTTGGGTGAATGATGAGTGAAGTGTTAGGGAAAAAGGTTGAAGAAGGAGGGTAAAGCACCTCCAGCAGGGACCAAGGGACTATTAACCTTAGCTTGGCACACCTTGCTGTCAGGCAGGGTGGGGAACTGTTTCAACCCAGGAGGAGACTACAGGGAAGCAACCTCTGTTGGAGGTCAGCAATCTGGATGCATCAGTTGCTCAGTAATGCTCTAAGCTGAGAGGTAGAACCTTTCTTTGAACCATATTCTCCGTTTCCTGTTTGCACTCAAGTCTCTCATGCCTCCTTCTTTAGGGTGGGGGCCCTGCTGCATGGACTACTGGAGTCCGACTGATATGATGATGCAGGGCATGGAAGGCAAGAGAGGTAAGAACAGAGCGAATGCACCTAAGGAGTTAGTGTGCTGTGATTTTTCTGCTTTATTCAAGAGTCTTACTTCAGGCACTTGGGACTTGGGCTTGAATGAGGACCAACCAGTCTGATAGCTGTGAGCTGGCAACAGCAATTGTATGCCTTTGGAAACACTGAAAGGCAGGAACTTGGGTATATGGGAGGCTTTGCTTTGGGGCTGGGTATCTGTATGGTGATCCTGCAGAGACAGATAGGCACCAAAGCAGCTTCAAGGACCTAAGCAAGCATGCTTACTAAAGTTAGTGACTCATATCCATACAGAAAGTGTTCCACTCCTGAATCAGGCCTTTATTATTTTAAACTCTTAATTAAGTCTCTTTGAACCCACAGGTGCAGCTACTCACTGATGCTTATTTGTTTTCTTTTATTTGTCACAGGCTTTCATTTACCAAAATATTTCAGTCAGATTGAACTAGAAGTATTTCAGGGGATTTTAATCTATCCTTGGAAACTGTGAGCAATTTGGGTACTTTCCTGTGCTATTCTCTGGGTATTAGTATGGGCATACATTTGTAGGCAGGTCTTCAATGGGTGACTGGACCACTACCATTCTTATTTTACAGGTTGATTTAAGGTTCATTATGTGTTTATTGCTTCTAAGTTATTTCTTATGGAATAGTATTGGTTTTCTTTTTTTCAATGAGTTGAAATTTAGTAGTCAAATGATAAATATTAAGGAAAATAAAGTTTTCAGATATATGAGAAATTAATGAAATATTTAAGATTCACATATTTTTCATGTCTGCCTACTGACTAGCCACCAAATATTTACAAATTTCAGAAATGAACACATTAAATATTGTGTTCACTTTCTATGCATCACTCATACAAATATTTTAACCACTCTCTTCCAAACCCATTGCTGATGTGCTGATTTTTTTCTTTGCTCTAATTTCCGTGAAGTTATTTCACAATACCTGAGCTGTTAAGTTATGCCTACTAAGTTATTTCACTGTTAAGCTCTTTCATTTTATGATTTCTTAAAGCGCTGTTTAGAATCCAGGTAGTTATGCAAATAGCTGAACGTCAGTCATCATGTTCTTTCTATATCAATGAATGTTGGGATTTTTTAATTTATTTTTTGGGAGGTTGTTATTAGTTGTTTTATTTTTGTTGTTTGTTGTTGTTGATTTTTTTAATGTTATTTTCAGGGGAGGGAAGCGGTGGGTTTTAATCCAAAGTAGAATAAGTTTGAGGGATTCAAAGGATATCTCATGGAGTAAAACTTGGCATAGAGGCATAAGAAAGATAGGAGGTAGCATAGAAAATGTTCATTCTGGTTTTGTGAGAGGAAATTTCAGTCTTTCCTCTTTGCTGGCTAATGTACTTATCTGGGTGTGCAGAGAGAACATTTTTGTAGTTCTTTTATTAAATATGCCTGGAACCTAACTAAAATAATACATTTTTGTGCGTACTTAAATATTTTCTGTTCACAGAAATTATTGGAAAAATCTTGTGGTTTTCATGATTTCAGGAGAAGGGAGATGGAGTCAGCTAAGAAGCTACAAAATTGATTGTGTGCTAGAATATAAATATATACAAAATATAAATAAATTGTTATGTTTAGATTAAATTTTACTGTCAACTTCAAAAACATTTCATGCATGTCTTCTGTTTATTTTACAGTATACCTAGAAAAATTTATAGCTGTTTCATTTTACTCTGACCTCCCCTTGGAGGGAGTGCTATACAGACTTTCTGAAAGCTGGGATTCCTGCTTGTATTATAATACAAATGTCCACTGGTGATCATATTCAAGGAGTCTAAATCCACTTTAAGTCTGGCGTTCTTTATTGTTTTCATGTAGGTGACTGAAGATGTCTAGCCAGAAGGGAACAGTAGGCGCTGGGATTTATGGGAAAATTAAATTGTAAAAAATGGCTTGCACTGAAACATGTTTAGATTCATCCTGGTCTTAAAATATTTTTGAGACATGGTAAGTTGTGGGACATTGAAAGTACTATGTTATACGTGAGGTACGAAGATCTCTCCCTCCCTTCAGCCTCAGGACTCTCCCTAATAATGCTGGAAGTTAAAATGAATCATTTATGAGCATCAGTAGACACATGGGTGGTGCCTCTTTTTAAACTGGTATTTTGTTGATGCAATATGTGTGACAGCCTTTTAGTTCTGAATATAAATGTTACAGAGGGGAAATTAGGTTGGTTCACAGAGGAGATCAGCCAGACCTTGCAGTACATCTTGCTGAGGAGCAGGTATCTCCACCAGTACTGTTCTTCAGAAACTAGTACATGTAGAAGAAAAATGGAAGGTGAGTGTCTTGAAACTTTACTATCACTTGACTCAGTACTGAAAGTGGAAATACTTAGGTCAGGTGTAAGGGGAAAAAAAAAAGTGCGTTTTGGTGTGTGGAATCAAGTCTAGAAATTACTTCTATGGTTCTATGGTTTAGATTTTATTTGTGGACTTGGTGAGAAAGGAAAGAAAAACAGCTTTGGAAGAAATGCTTTTCTTTTGTAATGGAAAATGAGAGCTGTTTAAAAGAATTGGTGAAGCAACAACAAATTCTGAGACTTATAGCATGGAAAAGAATACATTTTATTTCCAGCATAAATGATAAAGTACTAGTTTTTGGTATTCTCATGCTAGAAGCTATTATTTCACAATGGATACCTGAAGTATTCTCTCTGGAATGAAGGTAAAATGTAAATTAATAGAGAAAATTCAGTGACTGGTATTGAGGGTAGGGTTTCTACCAGAGAGAGAAAGCCAGTAAAAGATAAGAAATTGATTAGCCTTTAGTATTTTCTCCAAGATGCCTTTGCTTAAGAAGGCAATTGGTACCGCCTTTGTGGTCCAATTGTGATAATTAACTGATAAGCAAACTGTGGGCTGACTTTAAAGAAATTCCCTTGGAAACATGTAATATATCAACTCCCTGACATTCTGGTTCAGCTGGATTAATGAGTGGATGAGGTGTAGTTGTCTTGGTTTGTAAATGCCTTCAGAGAATGGGTGAAGACTTGCCAGGTTCTTTCAGTGTTCTTGACCACAGGAATTCATCATGTGTGCTATAACCACTTCTAATCCTTTCTGTTGAACCAGAATGTTTTGTGTTACGGTTGAAAAAAATCTCATTAAGGTATGAGACTTTCAGTTCAGCTCTGTTACTCTTTCTTGTCAGCAGGTATGATGCATTCATGAGTAATAATGATGTAATGCATTGCTATATTTTTGGTTGTTGTTGATGGTGTGCATGTTTTTAACATGGGTAACGCCCAGAACTGCATTTATCTGCTGATCTTTTCTGAAGAGCTGAATGATCAATTCGTTTAAATGGTGAGATGAAAACTCTTTCAAGGAAAGAAACCAGAAAAAGCTGGGGGGGGGGGAAGTTTGTGGTTGTTTTTTATGGGGTTTTATTTGTTTTCTTGGTTGGTTTTCTTGTTGGTTGGTTTTGTTGTTAGTTGGTTTCTTTTCTCTTATACATCCTCCCCTCCCAGTTCAATTATGTTTTACTTCAGGACGTGATCCTGGGAAACACTTCTGGGTTGTCTTGGAAGTGTCCTGGTCCCATGGGCTTAGCTATGACTTTCTTTTTATGTGGATACACCCTTGTTTCTGGTTAGGAAAAAATAATTTCTACTAAATACCAACTTTATATTCAACTTAGTGCTAGTATAGTTAGAGAAGTTGAATTGCTTGATTTTTCTGTAGTCTTAGCAAGACCAAACTTAACCCTTTAGAATTGAAATAGTATACAAGACTTTGTAGTCCAGTAAGGCAAATTTCCAGAACTCCTGAGAATCTGTGGCTCCCATTATCTTCAATTAGAGCAAAGCACTTTTGAAAGTAAAACGTTGGATTCAAATAGGTAAAAATCAGTGTCGCCACCCATCCTTCTGGCACCAAGGTCATAATTACCCTTATGAAATGACTGATACCCAGGCAGGATGCCCAAGGGCAGTCAGCTAAAATTTTTGTTAAGCTAATCATAGCACTTGGGATAGATTGTCAACATTTTTTTATTTTTTTTTAGTATTTCTGTCTCCATTAAGTTCCTCAAAGATGTCTGCAAAACTTTTATGACTTAAGGACATGCAGATTGAGACATTTCATGCATATTTAACAGTACTTACAATTTGGGGGGGAGATATTTATTTGTTTCTATTTTTTAATAACTCATTTAAGCTTTCAAACACCTATTTTTTAATAAAATCTTTTATTCAATTTACTTTATTATTTTATTACTTGTATAAAAAACTCAACTGATAGTATGCGCAAAACGTCTGCTGTCTAATTGTGGTTGAAAAGTAACTGTAGACAGTGTGCTTTAATGTGGAAAGAACATTACAGTGCAAAATCAATTTTTCAAGTAGAGATACTATCATCCCTCAGCATCAGGTATTTATTAAGCAAGAAGGTACTAGATAAAAGATGTGAAACTTGTGGCACAGCTTTATAAAGCATTATAACAAGTTTCCACCTGCAAGCTAGGGAAGTGGTGAACTTGTAAGGATAATTTTATGGATGTATGTGTCAATCTCAGTGTTGCTGAATTTTGAACAAACTCCCGAATTATTTTTTTTAAACAGTTATCTCTGTCTTTCATCTTTACCTGCTCTTTCATGTAGTCTTGACCTCAGCCAATGATGGGAACTCAACTATCTGTTTTTTCCTTTGTGTTCCTTTCTCCATCCTGCAGTCATCGAGCTGGGAGAAGTTGACCTGAACTGTCCTTCAAACTGCCAAATTCATAATACACAATTCTTTGGAACTGACAGACAGATAATAAGGAGAGGGCAAGCCTTCAACTTTTATGCTCGCTTTCAAAACCGGGAATGGGATGACTCTGTGGACAAGGCCATTTTCACTGTGGAGACAGGTAGTTACACCCAAACTTCACTTAGTCTTTCCCAGTCCTTTTCTGTTATGTAATATTCTCAGTAGTCTTCAGTGACAAATAGTATCTGCTCACACATCTTCTCTGCAAAGCGACTACCTTCCCCTAGCTCAGGCAATTCTGCTAACTTTTAAAGTTTTCTCACTCTGCTGCAGAGGTGACAAATAAAAAAGAAATCCACCCTTTGCTTTGCATTGCAAATGATGCCTAAACAAATTACTTGCTTTTTACATGTGCTTTGTTTAGTCTGATGAAAGTTGTATTTATTTTCCTGAAAAGGCCTCAGACCCTGCGAATCAAATGAGACAAAATGTAGCTTTCCAATGGGCAGATGCCTAGATCAAACCTGCTGGAGTTCTTCCTACAAAGTTTATCAGCCAAAATGCATCAATATCAGCGTGTTTCCTCCTTCCAACGCCTGCATTGGCCGTTATATTCTCAATATGCAAATCACATCTTGTGGTCATACATATCAGCGATGTCTTGGAGATTTTTATGTCCTTTTTAACCCTTGGTGTGCAGGTAAGAAGTCTAGTGATGATCAGATTATTTTAAGAAAAATTCTAGTGATGAGTAAAAATGTGGAACATTTTGTATTACTTAGCTCATAAGTAAGGGATGAAGTCACAGAAATAGGGAGGGATTTTTTTTTGTTTTCTTGTTTGTTTTTTGGTGGTGGTTTTTATTTTTTCTCTCAGGGTTCAAGACTGTCTCAAGCCCCCTCCCCCCCCTTTTACAGTGGCTTGACAGGGCAAGAAGCAATTAGCACAAACACTTTTTTAAGGTGAGGGTGACTGAGCACTGGCACAGGTTGCCCAGAGAGGTTGTGGAGTCTCCAACCTTGGAGATGCTCTACAGCCACATGGATGTGATCTTGGGTAACCAGCACAGCGTGAACCTGCTTGAGGAGGGAGCTAGACCAGATGACCTCCAGAAGTCTCTTCCCACCTCAAACATACTGTAATTCTGTGAATTCTGTGGTATCATTATAGAATCATAGAATAGTTAGGGTTGGAAAGGACCTTAAGATCTTCTAGTCCCAATATAGTATACAAATACAAAATAAATTCCGTAGATCTGTTTCTGATAGCAAGCAGATCTGGAGTCTGTAGGACCTTGCCAAAATCATTACATATTTCCATTGTCTGTGCTTTTGATTTGATAAAAATCAGATACTGAACTCTGAGTGCCCAGTGATTGACTTCTAGAGTGGCTTAGTGTGAAGATAAATTGCAAGTTCTGTAATTCAGCATACTATAGCAAGGAGAGACTTAATAAAGGTAATACCTAGCTGTAAATAGAACTGAATTGTCTCTGAATGTTTAAAGAGCCTGCACCCTTGAACATGTTTAAAAATATAAATCAAAAATAGGTAGGAAAAGAAAGAGGGATGCAGTCAAGTAGAAGATACAGAAGTGCTAGAAATGTACATTTGCCTGACTGATAGCTCTATATCTTTTCCAGATGACCCTGTATATATGGACAATCAGGCCCATAGAGAAGAGTATGTTCTGAATGAGCATGGCATACTGTATGAAGGAGTTCACAAGCATATTACCTCTCGACCATGGCACTTTGGACAGGTATGTTTTAAAGGCTTCTTCAGAAGCAGATGTCATCCATATATGGATAAGTGAAGTGTTATCCATACCTTTTAAGAAATGCACGGTTATATTATGGGGCATGAAAAGTTCTAAGGACCAGTCCAGATTATGCATGAACAAAACAAAACGTCTGAGAATTTCACTGTAGACCAAGCAACTGGAAAGAATTTTTCTGTAGTAAAATTAAGGAAACTGCAGAACCATTGATGCCTGTTTTAACTTCTCTTTTATCAGTTTGAAGATGGAATTCTGGATATCTGCTTGAAGATCCTAGACATTGGTGCAAGTTATCATCATGGCTCTGATCGTGACCGCTGTTGGCGCAATGACCCTGTGCACGTCAGCATGGTGGTAAATCACATGGTAAGACCTCTAGTGGTGTGTGACCTCTGAATAGGTCAGAACACACTCCATTATATTATAGAAGGACGCGTTGAACTGTAATCTAACATAGTATGAATAACACGGGAAATCGTTTCTGTGCTCAGATTCACAGAAAAAGCTAACTTGTGACACTAATATCTAATGATTTTATGATATGCTTAGGATTAAAGACATGGTCAGCTATTTGAGAAGGTGATTTTTATTTTCTCTTTCTAGATAAGCAGCCATATTACTAGCAGTATAATGAAGATTCCAGAAAACAATGATTACCTGAAGGGAACAAAACCATTTTCCTGGAATGGAAGTGTCCCTATTCTTCAGCAGTGGTACAATGGCAGATGCAGGCCAGTCAGATATGGGTACTGTGGGTCTCTTGCTTCAGTAATGTGCACAGGTATGATATTTCAGTCTACCCTTACCCAGCTATCCAAAAAGGAAAAGAGAAAACCAGGATCAGAAATCTCTGAGCCTAAAAACTAGTGGGAGGATATTAAGCATTTTACTAAAAAAAAAAAAAAAAAGTATTTTTCTCTTGCTATAATATGGTATGGCTCCTAACATAGTGTTTGTTATCAACCTGTTGCTTTCCTATATAGCATGAAGATCAAGAAGAAAAGCAGTACTGTCTTTTCTGTGACCTTTATACCATGCAGCTATCAAATCTACAACTTTATTATAAACACAGAGCAATTGCAGCATTGTGGAGCCAAAATATCCTTTGGGTGAAGTTTGAAGGCTGAGAAAAATACTGAGATATGAACAGGAAAACCTGTAGCCGTGTCCCCTCCAAAACATGAAAGCAGCAGGCTACTATGTTATTTTACTGCAAAGAATAAGATAATAGCAAACTATACGGACAAAAAAAAAATTAAGTTTGAACTTTTTACCATTTATTTACTGAACCTGCTTCTACACATGAAATTGAATTGAATTGATATTGAATTGCAATTGAATTGATACTGCAAAGATGAATCTATGTGTACTACACTGTTTCAAACAAAATGACTGTGCTTTATTAATGCCGGATCAGGTTCATTATTCTGGTTTGGGGATTTGGGGGTTTTTCTAGTATAAGCTGGAAGAATACCAAGCCATTTCTTCCTGCTAGGCTCTTTTCGGACTACTTTCAACCCCATAAAAGAAGTTTTGAAGACAGAATCAGGGCATCCCAAATATTGCTTTCTATCCATTGTATTTATGTAATTGCAAAGTAGAATATTGGAGACTTATTTATAAAACAAGTGAAGGATTTGCTTGATTAAATACCATTTGTAATGACTCATTAATATTTTTTTTTTTTTTCCCTACAGTGATGCGCTGTTTGGGAGTTCCAAGCCGTGTTGTTACAAGCTTCTGTTTTCCAAGCTCAAATGAAAATCCACTTGGTATCAATGAGATTTTTGACTGTACTGGAAAAAACCTATGTGGTAAAGACAAGCTATGGTAAATAAGAAATACACAAGTTGTTTTGTTATTGATTTTGGTTTTGGTTCGTTTTTTGATTAAATGATAGAAAGACTAATGTAAATCTAGCAGATCAGCATGTATCTTTCTTTGTCATGACAAAGCAGTTTACTTTCCTAAAAATACATTTCCAAACATGTAGTTACTGAACAGGCAGTCTGTTCAATCTACATTTTCAGAAAAGGAAAAGAAAACCACTTGTGAGAAGTTATGCTACCTGCTTACCCTTCTATGTTAAAAGAATAAGGCCATCTTGTTTGATAATTATGTTGTCTTCCTGAGATTTTTTTTATCATAGATAGCTTTATTCTTGTAAACCTTTCAATTCATTTTCATACAACTATGACATTATCAGTTATCACAGCAGTATTTCATGTTGTCACCCTTGGCCTGTGTGTTCATAGTTTCACTGCACCAGAATTTTGGTTTTGTCTCATCTGTGAGAGCTATTAATGAATTTTCTGCCCTTTCATTTCAAAAATGCCTTTTCCTTCAAAAAAGGATCAAACTGAAATATAAGGGAAGGAATATCTTATTTTAGCACAAATTACTAAAGAGTTTATTCTTTATTCTTTGTTAAGCCATTAAAAAGAAGACTAAAACAGTATGTGATTTTCCTGTGAAGAACCAGGAGGAAGATATTAGGAAAATAAACTACTTAAAAGAAAGAACTGTGCTGACACATTATCAACTGAACAAAAAGAGGGCTGTAATAAGAATGTTTTGCAATCAGGTCTGCAGGACAGATTCCCAGTCTGAGTGATATAAAGTAAACCTAACAACTCCTGTCCCCAAACATCATTAAAAGTTTTAAGACATAGAGAGTCTTCAGTTGATTAAAATGTTATCTCTGACATGGTTTTCCTCCATTGTAAAGCATTGAACTTGGTGATCCAAGAGATGTCTTTAATCCTATATACCTGCATCCTACAGGCGATATCACTGCTGGAATGAGTCTTGGATGGCTCGCAGAGACCTAAAACAATGCTGTGGTGATTGGCAGTGTTTGGATCCAACACCTTTGGAAACAGGCAGAGGTAACTGTTTACTATAACTGTCATTGTTTTCTTCTTATATTGTTGAGTTTTCCTACTACTCAGGTTACAACCTACTATAATGTTGCTATCTGGCTTAGGTACAGCTTGTAGCGGTCCTACCTGGGTTCGAAGTGTCAGAGAAGGGGAACTGGACTTGGACTATGATGGTCATCATCTGTTTTCTCGAGTAAATTCAAACTATGCTGGCTGGCTTTCCCAAAACAATGCCAAAAGAGCGAAGTTTTTCTGCGATCCTTGGCCATGTGGACAACGTCTAATCACCAAGCATGTTGGCAGTGAGCAATTTGAAGATATCACTGGGGCTTACAAGTATGAACTAGGTATGATGAAAAGCCATTAAATAAGTTAGAGGAAATTTTCAGTGCTAATCATATAAAATTATTAGTGTAATCTGTCCTTTGTTAAAATTAATAGAACAATCTGAAGTTGTATATTTTTGAGAAAAAGGAAGATGCATTTCTGTTCAAAGACCTTCATCCTTAAACTTCTAAACACATTTAGATGATTAAAATGAAACAGATAGTAATTGCATTAATATAGGATGGGATATTTCAGTTGGAAGGGACCTAGAGTTATCCTCTAGCGTAACTTGCCGGTAGCACCCTTCTGCCTCAAAGATGTATTTAACTGAAAGTTACAGCATATTATTAAGGGCATTGTTCAAATACCACATTCTAAGGCATTGACAGGCTTGGGATATCAAACACCTCTCTTGGAAGCCTGTTCCAGTGGTTGACCACCCTCTTGGTAAAGAAATGCTTCTTCATGTCAAGTCTGAATATTGCCTGACGCAGCTTTGACCCATTCCCCCACATCCTGTCAGTAGGTCCCAGGGAGAAATGCTCAGCACCTCTCTCCACTTCTCCTCCTTGGGAAGTTGTAGAGAGCAATGAGGTTGCCCCTCAGACTCCTTTTCCCCAAATTAGGCAAGCCCAGAATCCTTAGCAGCTCCTCACATGCCATGCCTTCCAGCCATTTTAATCCCACTATTTGTATGTACATGTTTTGGTGTCACCTGTACAGTGGTTTAAAATATTAGCAAACTTTAGATAATCTAAAAAAAAAACAACCCTAGATTCTTTTAAACCCAGGATTAACTTCTTTCTTGTTACTTCGTGTACCAGATCTGTCAGAAAATATGCCTGCTTATTGAATTCATGTTTTATTAGGATATTCTGCTGTTCTTACTTTGGACTACTAATTACTGGTTTTCATCTTCCAGTAGCAAGGAGGAGTTCAACCAGCAAAATTGCATAAAGGAATAATGAGTGGATCATAGTTGATTGTAAAATTACAATTTTTTTTGTAAATACTTTACATGTAAATTTTTGCAAAATACCATGGTTTTCCTTTCTTTTTCTTTTTTTTTTTTTTAACAGAAACAAAAGAGAAAATAATAGCTTCTTTGTTTGAATGGTGTATTTTGGCTTTGAGAGACATGGTAACATTTCATATTCACCCTAACCCTGTTATATTTTGATTTTTGCACTAATTATACACTTTGAGATTTAAATGACCATTTTTAAATTTCACTAATAAAAGTAATTTTTTTTTAAAATATTTTTGATATATTTATTTTCTTCTATGCATTCAGACGACCATACCTTGCGTTTCATTATCTAGTGGATTTGTTCTACACCAAGCCACTACACTAGGTTTCAGGAAATTTAATTATCTATCTTTATTATGTGGGTAGATGTGTCTTCTTTTGCCTCCAGTGGATTCCTTATCACGTATCTTCTTCAACAGGTTCTGTGAAAAACAAAGAAGCCTATTACCGGGCTTACAGAAGAATTTATCCAGGGTACTGCAATGCTTCCAACTGTCATATTGATAGAGAGTTATCATCTCTGAAAAACCCATTTTTGAGTGACTCTGGTATTAACATGAGGTTAAAGATGGCTAATTGCCCAATGTACGGTGAAGATGTCCAACTGCACTGGCTGCTAGAAAATTTGCGTAATGAAAACAAAACCCTGAAGTTTAATTTGTGTGCACAAATAATAACCTATAGTGGCTGCCCATTGGATCAGTTTTGGAAAGACAGTGTGACTATCCCATTGGGTCCAAGGGAAGGTAAGAAGGTGAATTTGTCTAACACCTCTTTGTCTACTGTTCTTTTCAGGAGATGGTTTGGTTTTAGGACTAGTGGAGATTTCCTAATAGAGGTGGGAACTGAAATGAATACAATGTTACATATTGACAGCTGAATTCACTTTAGGGTGATGACGCAAAAATCAACACAGTGTCAATACTGCATGTATTGTGACAGGTAAATTGTAGTCTTTAATTTCCCCAAGACTTAGAGGTTCTTAGGATCATTTAAAATCTCATTTCCACTCAAAGTTCTGGTTTCTATAGGAAGACAAAGCTGAAGCTATTTATCAGAAAAGCATTTTTTTTCCCTTTGTCCAGAAGATATTAACTAGTGTAAAACACTTGTTTTGAGCACTAAAATAATAATTTCTAGATATACTGTATACTGGGAAGTGCAAGGGTATATCAGAACATGAACACTTGTTTACAGGGTTAATATCTTTTTCTGGAAGAAAAATGTTGCCTTTAAATAAAACACATCACTCTAAGATTAAATTTCATACCTGATATTAACATTCTGTTTTATCACCCTTTAATTTTCCTGCTTTTTAAATTATTGCTTTAAGAATTACACTGGAATTAAATTTTGCAAACTTTGTGTAATAATAATAATAATGATGATAATAATAATGGTGATGATGATAATGCTTATAATAAATCAACTCGTAAATGCACTGATATTAACTGAAAACTATGAATGTGGTTGTTGCAAGTAACAGTGTATCTAACTAGGTAAACTAGGAAAAATCATGTCTGTTTTTAAAAATGCTGTGATAAATTAATATTTTAGCCATTGTAAATGCCAGTTAAACTTTAGGAGAAAGGAAAGTGGAAATATTAGCCAAAAATCAGAAAAAATAATTAAAATATTTTTATTTACAGTGAAAACAATTCCAGTGTGCATATCATATAATCAGTATGGACCTTATCTCTGTGATCACAACATTATTAAAGTAGTTGCTGTCTCAGACCCAGAGTGTGGAGAAGTTCTGATGGTGAGCAGGGATATCGTGATCAACAGACCACCTGTTATTGTGAAGGTAAAGAATTTTAATTATGGGATTGGTGATCTAAGGAACAGAGGGACTCTTACTGGCCAATTTCTAGGTCTTCCTTTTTTTTTTTTTCCTTTCTTTTCTTGGTAAGATCAGTGTGAATTTAAATGTGTAACATTTGACTCTAGAGTGATGTGCTTGTTTATTTTCTGACTAGCTTCTGAACCAGCCAAGGCTGAAAGTACCATGTACTGCAGAGATCTCCTTCTGCAATCCTCTCCAGGAAGATATGAAGAACTGTGTAATGACGTTAGAAGGCTGTGGTTTATTCAAAGAGCCAATGACCATTGAGTAAGACCATTGATTATTTAAATGGCAAAAATATTGGGAGTTGACTAAGGTGTGCTAGATCAGAGCAAGTTTTGAGGAAGACTAGTATTTTTGGTGTTTAGGACCTGAACAGGATGTTTTGGCTCTTTTTGCTTTGAGACTCCATTAAAAGCCTTAGTCCTCTTGAAACTGATGGATCATTTAGAGCTGGCAAGATATGCTGCTGCTTCGTTTTTTCTCAGGTTTTGCATAAACTGTGTGTTTGAAATTTCTCTCTGAAAGGAAACACACAGTTTTCTTCACAAGAAATTCTAGTTGCGTTCTCCATCCCTTATAATCTTATTGAGTTTGTAAGAGAATTTCTCTAATTATTCATGAACTCGCATCACACACACATGATCAATTAGAAAACATCAGTGAGAAACAGCAATATATGCATTCTGTTCTCATAATGTTAATCACCGAAAATGGAGATATCCAGGATGCTATAACATCCTAGGAAAAATAGTTGTTCATTAATATGCATTGATATTCTTCATGACAAGGAGAACTGACAAAAGTATGACTAGTTTTGAGGGGAAGCAATTAGGAATTGTTCTTGCTGAATAATAATGAACTCAATTGCACAAAGCTATCTGATCCAAATTAAGCTACTAGAAATGGAAAGCGGGAAGTACATTTTTGAAGCAGAAGGGTGCTACATTTTTGCAGAATTCAAGGCAGTATCATGAATAAGCTTTCAGTTCCAATTGCAGAACCAACTATGGGAGTTTTCCAGATCTTCTCTTGGGACAGAAGTTGTTCCCATCCTTTTCATATAGTGGGTTTGGTTATTTTTGGAGGAAGTCAAGAAAGACAAAGTTGTTATAACAGCATGTCTGAAAACATGTTGTAGCAAATCAAGCCTAATTACATGCTCTTCTATTGTAGCTCTTCATGTCTCTGAGCTGGCCAGGGTCCTAATTCTTTTCCTTATCTCAACAGTTTGGGAACACTGGCATCTAACCAGCAGGCACGGACCATTGTGGAGTTCACGCCTTACAGGCTTGGCAGCCACCGGCTCCTGGCTAATCTTGGATGCCACAAGTTTGCCTACTGCAAGGGATGCGCCAAGGCTGAAGTGTGTTGCCTCACAGGCCAGAATGGTACCCTGCCTGCTGCTCAGAACGGTGCCCTGCCTGTCAGCCAGAATGGGTCACACCCCGTGTGTGAGAATGGCTCCGTCCACATGAATGGCTCTGGGCCTGTCCCAGTGGCAGACCCTGCATTCAACTCCATGTGTGAATATGTATGTATCCCAGTGTGCAACCCAAATTGCAGTGCAGGGGGCCAGCCTGTGTATGACTTTGTGTACCTCCCTGCGGGCCATCCGTTATGCAGCTCCATCTGCAACCAAGGCTTCAATCCAAACGTCAGTTCTGGTTTTGATGTGGGAGGTGATCCTGGCTTCCGTGTTGTATGTGAGACTGTGCCTTCTGCTACATGTACCCCGATGCCTCCATCCATGTATGGCTCTATGCCTGCCCCAGCCTCCAACCCTGTGTGCCCCCCTATGCCTCAAGTGGTGTTTGAGACAGGTACTGCTCCTGTGCACCAGCCTGGAGGCAGTGGGGGACCGGTGTCCTATTCAGTTGCTGTCCCCTCAGATAATGCAGTGAGTGCCCTGCTAACTCACTTCATGGCTGGCTCTGGCCCCACAGTGGCAACCCAGGCAGTCCCTACCCATATATCTGCTCCACCATCCCATCCGATGTACTCTCCAGTAGCTCACACTGCCACCATGCCACCAACAGCGGGTGCCTCCGTCTCACATGTTGTCTGTGGCTCTGCACCCTCTCCCACAGCCCAACCTCCATGTGGCCCAATATCCACCCTGACCTCCCAACCCCTGAGCACCCCAGTAGGTCATGGCGTGTGCTCCCCAGCCTCCTGCTCAGTGGCTTCCCCTGTGCCCCACTCTGCTGCCCGTAGCGCCACCCCAGCAGGGCTGCAGATGGGGAGTGCCCCCGCAGCACGCACGCTGTGCTCCCCAGCCCCACGCCCTGTGGGACCCCCAGCAGCCCACTCGGTGTACTCTCCATCCCCACGCCCAGTGGGGGCCCCTGCAGCCCACTCGCTGTGCTCAGCCACCTCTGTGTCTCTGGGGGCCGCGGGCGCCCGCACCACTGGCTCACCCCTCACTCACCCTGAGGACTCACCCAGAGCCTGCTCCCCAGCCCCAGACCCCCTGGCAGCTGCCTCAGCCCGCTCCCTCTATGCACCCACCTCTTACTCGGTCTCCCGGGCCGTGGGCACCCTGGGGTCTCGCTCAGTATGCAGCCCTCAGTGGGGCCCCTCCTGTGACACCACCACTCGCTTGGGCTCCAACCTCACATGGGCTCCCGCCTCCCGCTCAGCATGGAGCGCTGTGGGACGCTCGGGCTACTCCCCCTTGTCCCGCACTGCCTACAGCACGCTCACGCGCCCTTTGTACAGCTCCTTGTCCCGCTCCTACAACACCTTGTCCCGCTCTGCCTACACCACTCTTCCCCACTCCACCTCTCCCTCTGCCTATGCCACCCTGCCTCGTTCTGGGTCCTGCCCCCCTAGCAGCACCTTACCCCAAGTAGGGTCCCGCACACCCTGGAGCCCCAGGAGGAGCACTTATAACTACTTCAAACGCAAATACCTGTAATGGAGAGTAACCTGGAGAAAAGCCAAAGCCAGTGAATTAAAGGCAGGGTTCAGACGCTTTGAAAGAGTTTAAAAATAAGGTGATGGAGCATGGCATGTGTAGTCCTGGGTATTTATCCACATATTTGAGATGTGCCAAGAAAGGAAGCTGCTAGCTGACTTCTGAGGAATGAATTTGATGTAATGCTCGTAAGTCTTGAGATACAGTATGGTGGAAGTGACAAACTGAACATGTTCTCCATGGAGCTGTTGTGACAATAGTTGCACAGTGCAGGTAAATGGATTTACTTGCTTGGTTAAGCTGTTTTATAAAGGATGTGCTTTGACTCTCTCTTCTCTTGATTTTTTTGCGATGGTTACTTCTCAGATCTCCTTGGGCTACAGCACTTGTTGCAAATCTCTCCCCTTGTGTGAAATGTGCTGTCCTTGGGATACTGCAAAGAGGTGGCAGCAGACTTGCCTTACATGTTACCTAATATATTGGGTCCCCGAGTCCCAGTATTGCTGTGGCTTGGGTCAGTTCTGCACACACTCAAATTTCCTTATGGGGCAGTGAAAACTGAGGAGGTCATGGAGTAATTAAATTGTTAAAAATCAACAGAAGAGTTTTTTTTTAAAAAAAAGCAGCTGTAATAAATGTAGTATTACTACTCTTGATGTATTACAGTTCCATTATCAGGAACCCAAAGGTCAGATTAGAAAGGCTGCAAAACTCAGTGAACGATTAATACAAATTTACTGGCTTACACAGTTGAATACTTCTCAAATCGCATATTCCAAAAAATTCTTCATGTGTATTGCATGCATTTAGGTTTGTGGGAGAAGGTCTGATTCCAAGGCTGTGCTTTTTTGATTCAATATAGCTAGTAAACTTCTATCACCAGACCTGAACTAGAGAAGGAAGTATGATGTTATCCTTTCTTTCCAACACCCAGCCCTCCCAACTAAAAGGTTAAGAAGGTGAATGAAAATGTATTGTGTCTCCTTTTGATAATTGGTACCATTTCAGTGCTAACCCTCTCCCAGTGTTTTAAGAATTGAAATCATATATTGTCATAATGGAGCTGTCCCCTAATTTTGGATTTGCTCAGAAGAATTTTAGATTTACTGACAACACTTCCCATCCCTCCATTGTTTTCCTCTAGTGCTCTTCTACTGTTGGTAACAAGTGTTAGTGGGGTTTTGTGTTAAGATAATTTTGCTGGTGCTGCAGAATTTTCAGTTGTGTAGTGATAGTATTTCAGTAGTATCACTTTAGTTCACACCCCTATGCTCTGTGATGAGATTGAGTAACCTTCCAGGGGTTTGGGAAAGATGTGGTGTCAGATGGTAACTATGAATATGCCAGCACTATTAACTACATAGTAATTCTGAGTATGGTAGAAGAAATATTTGCCTGGATACTGTAGTGAAATGGTCATGACTTGTTTTTTTATGCAGTTTCAATAGTCTCTGCTAGGTATTTGCTGAGAATTCCTTTTCCTGACTGACAATAAAAATAGAAACTTAAAATCACCTGTAATTCTGTTGCTTTGGGGTTTTGGGGGTGGGAGGGCAATATCTTTGCAAAAGTGGGGAAGGAGTCTCTCCAGATGCACTGAAATGTGAAATCTTCCTTCTACTCCATTTATAGAATCATATTTTAATTTCTTTTATATTTCCTCTTCCTTTCCCTAAAATCTGAAACCAAGGCTTCAAAATAAGATCTGAAGTTGGGGGAAATCTATAGATTTCCTACTATAACTAAAAGAGTTTGGTATTAGAGGAAAAATTCAACCATCCTTTTTGCTCACAGTAAAGCTTTCCACTTGCAGATGCTTCATGAAGTTTTCTTTTAACAATTCACAGAAATGACAAAATGAACAGATCTTTCAGTGGCAGAAAAATACCAACACTATCTACTTAAGAAAAAAAATGTGATTTTTCTGAGAAAATGTTAATAGTACATAGTACCTACATCATTACCAAATAACATTTCAGATTTATTTTCCCAGTAGTGGTTTGACTTCTCTGATTTTCTTTATTTCTGAGAATGAACCTGGTTCCATATTTCACAAACTCTAAAGATTTGGTCCAAACCTGTTCATGACACTGGAGCTGTCCCAAGTGTGTGTAAACTTTATTTACCACTCTTCTTGCCAAATATGTTGAATACATATTGCTTTCAAAAACTGAAGCGAGTTCATTATAATTGGAGCCATGGAGAATAGCAGAAATCCTTTAAAGTTCAAAATTATTGTAATGCTAAAAAAATTATCTTGAGTGTGTTGTTGTCCTGTATATCCCAGGACTAACAAAAGGTAGGTTGTTGTAGTCTATTTTATACCATCATATTCATTTGGGTTGGGGGGGAAGGGGCAGTGGGAGAGAATTAAAACAGAGCAAAGAAACACACAAAAAACTAAACCCACTACCACCAAACCCAACAGGACTGATTTAATTTATCATCTTCTTAAATATTTAAGTGAAAGACTACAACTTATATTTTATAAGGTAGCTCCTACTACAGAAGGCATGGCTTGAATTTCTACTGGATTTCTGTTCTGTTGTGGGTTTGTTTGTTTGTTGTTTTGGTTTGGTTTTGTTTGGTTTAGTTTTGTATGTTTGTTTGTTTTCCCCAAACTGATATGCTTGGCTGTCAGAAATGCACTTTCCTGAAGTGGAACCCACGAGAAATTCCTTGTTGTTTTTTTTTTATAACATATTGAAGATTAACCATATTCTATAATGTGGTGTGATACATAAAGAACTGTGTTTTAGAGAATGGGAGGGCAACTCAAGTATGACAGTTATAGTCATCAGCTGTTGAACACAGTACTATTTTATTTATGTGTTCAGGTATGCATTTCAAATTTTGATCTCAGTTCAGCCATGTATTTTATTTAAGTGAGGGAAATACATTAATTTGTTTCTAGACCAGTGAAGGTGAAAAAATGTTATTTCTCATTCATTGTTATAGTTAGCTTTTCTATGATTTAGCATAATAAATACAAGTACTGAAATTTATTTTTGTGGTGACTAAAATAAGGTTGTATTTATTTTAAAGAGGAGGAAGAATCTAATATGTGATAATTTTCAGTTTTCATCCTTAACAGTTTATTAGACCTATACAAATCTTTTTTTTTTTTTAGATGAGAAATTATGAAGATTTAGCCACAACTTAACCATTTCAAACTTTAAATGCTTAAGGTTTGTGCTGCTTTGGACATTTGCTGGTGACATAATATAGAGTGCCTGGGTGAAATGTGATTTATTTTTATATATTCCATTGCCAGAAGAAAATCACTGAAATGTGTAACTCAGTGAACCAATTTCCTACCATGCATTAGTTACAGATGTAAATTAAATTTGATATAATGCACCAGACAAGAAGATTAAATTAGGGAAACACTATATTCATTTAACTTAGTGTTAAAACCAAACAAAATAATTTGGAACATGCGCTATGAAGTGTATAAAAATAAAGAAATTAAATATGCTGAGCAGGAAAACATGAAAATATTCAAAATGAAAAAGACAACAGGGATTCCTTTTTCTGTTTTTCAGCAATCATCTTCCATTATATTTGAATTTTCACAAATCAATTTTTTTATGCTGCATTTGCAGATGTGTTTTCATAAGGGAAGATCTTTATTTGTAGAAGGAAATCCTATTCAAATATTTTACAGGCATCTCAGCTCACTCTTTCTTTTGGTGTCTTAGATGGGAGGAATTTCTTCCACACCTTTGTATATTCTTCCTGGATAACCTTGTTCAAGCTTTTAAATTCTTTGTCTTTGAAGTGCAAGGTATGTTATGTAATGTGCACGTACACTAATTTCTATTGGATAATTTTCTGACTCTCTGACTGACATTGCAATAAATTTTGTGCAGGAGACCAATGCGGGACTGAATACAGACCCTAGCCTAAGGATCAGCTAGAGTGTACATGCACAGCTGAGCCCTTGTTACTATTCTGTTGCTTATTTATAATAATCATTAAGTCTAATACCACATTAATTTTGATTTTAAATCTGTTTGTTTTAGATATACTAATTGGCCACACCTGTCTAACTTTTCTACTAACCTTATTTTTTTTTTCCATGTTGTTCTCTCCTGAGAAAAATTTCCACAGATGGTGCTCAGTAGACTGCATTAGCTATTTGAGCAACTTTTCGTATGTTCACTTCCAGCCATCATACATGTCTGTTTTCTCCATAATTCTCAAATAGGATGTTTAGGCATCCTATTTATTGGTGTTACAGGGCTTGAATAAAGAGTACTCAGTGATACAAACAAATTGGTTACAAAAATTAATAAAATGAAACAATGTGTAGAAAACCAGGAGCTATGTGTAAAGAAGGGAAAATCTTTACAGTATAAAGTAATGTCACTAGTTTACAGTTTCCTTTTAGAAATGTCTTCTGTGATTCTAGTTTTCTCAAATTCCTCTTTTTGAATATAAACCCTCAAATTTTATTTAAGCTATGACAGTATATCAAATTAGGTTTCAATTAATTAGAATTAGAGAAATGTTGATGCTTGAGATAAATGCCACTGGGAATCCTTGCCTTTCTAATATATTAAAAATATACAAGAAAACCTAATCCATCAGCTGCAGCAGTTTCTGTGTATAGAGCTCAGACAGTGGATGTTAACCCTGACTTAAAGATGCTCTATAATTCTAGCTGGGCTAAATGTAGCACCTTAATTTTCTAAGTTTTGCATTTCTTTTAATTTAATTCTGACCTTTTTTTGGCCTTCATCTCTTTTCTTCACAGGTGGAAAAATTGGAATAGCTAGAGGCTGCTCAAATGCAAATATCACTAAATTGCTACAAAAGCCTTTATTAGACATTTCAGAGTCTCTAATAGGGAATTCTGTCTTCAGTGCACAAACCATATAAAATGGAGATTGCTGAGGTTTTTGAAATGATCTTATTTCTTTTCTTTAGGTGGACTCAGTCAATTATATAATAGCATGTGTTATTAGGGGTCCCTACTGCACATTAGCCGAATACTAACTTGCGCTTTTCTGCATCACTGACTGAGACCAATTGCCAAGGACAATATCAATGCCAAAGGAATGATAAACAGGATTAACTGAGATCTGGTCTGTAACTTCACAATGAAACTTCATATGCTTCTATAAAAGTAGGTATGAAGTTTATCCAAAGACTACAAGTCAAGTAGAAGCAAGATATAAAAGGGTTATTTGATATATAGGGCAAAAGTTAGGCACTAAAAGCCCAAAATTAAAATTCTGAAAATTCTGTGGTGGATAATGCTTAATCCTGGCAACATCCAGATCCTGCAGGAGCCTTACTGTTTCTTTTTAAAATCTTGAGGTGCCAAGGTTTGTGTCCCAATATGTAGAGACTTTTGTCCCAGACAGAGTTGGATTGATCCTGGTGTCTTCCTCCTTATTCTTAAGTCACATCAAGGTCTAGAAGCTAGATATTTCCATCTTAAATTCCCTTAAGGTGATCAGAATGCATGCGACGTAAGCATAGCTACAAAGTTTAGAAGTAGCCTTAATCCAACAGTGAAGTAAGAACATTTTAGTTCTAAATTACATGCCTCAGATATTAAAAGAAAGAAAATTAGTTAGTGGTCCATGATATTGGATTGGCAGAAAAGAATAATTTTCTTTAAAAACAATACATTGTTGTACAGTATACAGTATGGCCTGTATTGAGAACTTTTATTGCAAAAATTCTGATTGAAATAATTACTAAGGAGAAAAAAAAGTAACATATGCACTTGTGCATTTTTATGGTGTTCTAACTAGAAGGCATACTTTGTGTTGATTCAGAAGTCCAAGGGACTTTGGAGGCAGGACGAAAAAGGATATTTTTGTCTAAAAATTTTTTTTTGAAGGATACCACTACAATATTAAAGTATTTAGAGTCTGAATATAAAAGACCTGAAAAGTCCTTCGAAACATTGAATTAAGCACTAAGGAATGAAATAATTGACATCTTGTCATAGCCATTCTTCATTTTCAAGATTAGAATATAATGATGCTCAAATAACCTCTTTTACTGAGGAAATTTTGACATCTACTTTTGAATATGTTAGATTGTACATGCTCTCAAAAGAGTAAAGATTTGGGTTGGACATACTTGATTTACCGTAATGGAAATCTTCTTGAGCTCTTTTTGCAAATGCAGAGCTTGTACTCCAATTTTTTACATCAGCTAAAATCTGTCAATGTTAAAATCCACAGGTTTAAGTTTGCTGGATTAAGGATTTTGCATTAAATATTAGTTTTACTTCATTTTATGTTTTATTTCCAAGATTATAGAACTGAGCATCAAACTTTTCCTTTGACAGATGCTCACAGAGAATATTTCTCCTTTTTAAGATTCTACTAAATTTTAATTTGTGTAACGTATAAGTAATTATGTTAGTTGTCTGTCCTTTTGTACTTGCTCTGGTATCTGGACTTTCACTCTGGAAATGTAATTTTGTAGTTTATGACTATATGACTAAAACCCCAAGAAGTAGTATCATAAATTTCAAAACCTTCTCACA